AGATTTGTCTACCTAGATAGGCTGGCCTACTTTTCTTTCTTTCTTTGATTTATGTATTTCATTTGTTGTACCCTGGTTCTCAAAACTAATAAGGATAAGGGCTGTCCCGAAAGTGGGGCTTCTCTTTAAACTGTCTCTTGTAAATTAGCGTCTCTTCTTTTACACCCCCTGTAGCCTAGGGCACCCCCCTAGCGTCATTTGCCCATACTGGGACTCTTCTAGGACCTAGCCCACGCGAGCTAGACTCCGCTTGACGTTAAATAGCAATAAATAAATAAATAAATAAACAAACCGCAAGCACCACCACGACCCCGAAGTTTGATTTACCATCTCTCATTCATAATTATAAATAAAAGGGATAATACCACCTCAAATCGTATACCCTAACGCACGCCTCACAAAACACCCTCTCTCTAATTGTACATCTCACCATCTCACCATCTTCCAAACACGGCCTGGAGAAAAGAAAAAACGAACGGCTCAAAAGAACAACTCCTCCCATATATGCAAATGCTTTCCATCCCCCCTCCCCCCATCCAAACAAACACAACCAAGAAGAAAAAAAAAGACAAAAAGTAAATCCCAACGAGTGAATCGTCCGTGGGGTTTTCTCCATCCGCCCAGTCCAACACCATCCACCATCCCAACATCCCGCCATCCCAGAGAAACAAAACAAAAATCCCGAGTTAATATACAAAAGAACCAGTTATTCTTTTTCGCTAGATCAGCCATGTGGTCCCCTCCAAACAAACCCTTTAACTTAATCCCCCCAAGAACCTCTTCCCCAACCCCCGTCTCGTCCCCTCCTCATCTCCATTTCCATTGCCCATAGACGATGCCTCCCTCTCAGTTGAATGACTACGTAGCCCTGATTCAGTCCTCTTCTTAAGCCGTGAAAGGAAACTTGATGCCCCAGCACTCTTCGTAGACTCCTGTCCATCATCCCTTCTTCTCCTCGAAGAAGTAGGTCTATGAGTATCGTAATCAGCGGGGTTACTCGCCCTGCGCTCGCGATCATTATATCGAACAGGTGTCATAGTAAGACTCTGTGGCAACTTTGGCATGGGACCGGGCATTGGTCCAGCAGGGAAAGAGTTCAGACTACTCTCCCTTGACCCCGCACTCGATGTTCTGACTAGGCCACTTGAAGTTCCATTCCTGCTAGATGTAAAAGAGCGTCTAGGACTTCTGCTCCTCTCACTGCGTCGATCAGTAGGACTCGTCGCACTAATACTAGCCATAGAACTGGAAGCATCACTATTATCATGCGAGTTATCAGTCGACGGCGCAAGAACCATACTACTAGTAGCAAGTTCCCTCAGGCGAGTCTGTTGTGCGACATTGGGACGATGTTTGCTGAATTTGTTACCAATGATGGCACCGGTATGAGAGATAAGAGCTTTAATGACATCCTTTTTAAGAGCAAGGGCGAGGTCGAGGTTGGACCATGTTTTGTTGCGGTATTCGATCAAGGGGAGCCGAAAGACGAAGTCATGAACATCCTCGATATTGCGTTCTCCTTTGCCCTTGTAGCTGAGGCAGAGAACTACACTAGGCATCTTGACATAGGCGAGAGACATGTAACTTGAAGCCCTGGACATCATGATACTGAGATCATCGGATGGTTTATCCTTTTGCTTGCCACCATTTCGATGAATCCCAAATCGCTTCACCTTGCCGTCACTGGTTGTAGAATTGGCATCAAAGTTCGAAGCAGAAGTCGATGCACGATTAGTGGGTGGACGAGATTGGAATGCCGATCCCAAACTGTCAAGAGAGGACTTTTTACCCAAAGTTTTGCCGTTTCCAGTCTTGGATTGAAACAGGCGGAAATGATGTCCATCACCATTAGAAGAATGTAAACTTCTGGCTTTGCTTCCCATAGTATATGAAGTGGCCGGACGGTGTTCTGAAGTCATTGTTGGCTGCAGCCGGAGTTCTAGTGACCCGGCTCGAGTGTTGTATGAAGAATCTATATCTGTCACGGTCACACCGCTAGAGAGAGCGGTAGTGCTATCGTCGTCCATATCTTCATCGTCATCTTCGACTGGCTGCATATGCTTGATCATGAACGGAGACTTGTTCTTCGTGCCTTTCTCTTCGGATCCAGGGAACATGTACTCGAATAAACGTTTGCCAACTTCTCGCTCAAGCTGAATCTTCATGGGGAAAAGATTGACCTCGAAACGATCGAGAACTGGGATTCCTGCAATTGCCTCAAGCATATACCAGTAGACACGCAGCATTTGCTGGTTATTACCTTCGCTGAAGGTACCTCGTTCGGCGTCGGAGTACGGGGCGAACATATCGGGGTACATAGCATCAGGCAGTAGATTAAGTCCAACAATTTTCCCTATTTGCATCAGATTGATATGAGAACCATCCGAATTATCGGTTCGATCATATTCAGCTCCTTGAAGTTGGAACTCCATTAAGGGTTCATTGTTGTCTCGTACAAGATGCCAGACAATCTGATCGGAGGAGATGTTCCACCTCAACAAGCCACTAGTCTGCGTGCCATCGTACTTCCTTTGAGACGAAGTGATGGCTTTCATCATGAAGAACAATTCATCCTCGCAGCGAGTGAGATCTTTGTCGAGCAAAACTCTGTCCTCCCAGCCCTTTTTATCCAGGTATTTGGAATGAATTTGGAATTGAGTCTTGATCTCATTCAGTTGACTGATGCGTTCTTGTAGTCGTATCACCATTTCGGGGGCTCCTCGCAGATCACTAAAGTCAGAGGCAAGCATGATCTTTTCTAGGCGTTCGTTCCTTGTCTTCTCCAATGGCTCACTGTACATCAAGAGATCCATGACAATGATGTACATTGCATAGTATTGAGCGGAATTACAGAGAGCTCGTATCTGAGGGAATTCAACCCACAGATGATCCATTCGACTTTCGATGTCGGGACTCGTTGGGTTGCGACTGGTGCCGCTGCTGACCTCGTCATTATATTTGAGACGCAAGGTATTGTACTTATCGTAACGCAAGCTTGCAGATGTCTTTTGCACCACTCTCTTGAAACCAAATGGGTCCCCTTGGAAATCATACATCACCTCCATTGGTACCCAAGGTGGCCATGCAGATCCAGCAGGGGTTCCATAGTGGCTCCCGGAGTACATAGAGAGTAGCTGTGACGAGAACCACTTCTGGTGGGTAACAAAGAATTGTGTGCTGTCCATTTCAACGGAAAATCGACGTTGCACGAGACCACTAACATCATCGAAGATACGATCCTTATCCATAACTTCCACAACTTTGAGCTCCATACCTTTCCCAGTTACTAGAACAACGGCTTTCTTATTTTTCTCGCTCTGGAGTTGAATCTGAGGTGCGATTAGCCTCAAGTGGTAGCTATTTTGCGGTGTGAATTCATGAGCGATGTTTGACTCGAGGTTGTCAACCGAGACTCTTTGAGCTGTTTCATGCGCTATGTCGTCTTCGGCTTTGACGAAATTCTTCCCGTCAGCAAGGAGCTCGTTGATGCGTTCCTGTACCTCTTCAAGGTTTCCTGTTCCATCTTCATGGTTTGCCGATTCATCAGAAGTGTTTGTTTCAGTAGCTGGAGTTGGTCTACCAGTCTTCGCCTTATTTTGCTCTTCAACAATATCCAGAATGAACTTAACAGCCCTTCTTGATAAATAGTAAACAAAGCCACGTCTTTGGCTCACTTGATGAATGTAGCGAAGGATGATGTTTCGCAACATATTATTCCACTTCAGCTGCATATTGTGAATCACGAATCTGTTGTTGAAGTCGCTGACGAACTCTGCAGCTGCGTTCTCCAAACTTTGTCCAGGTGTCTCGGGTTCACGTGGAGAGTAAGGGTCATCGGTATCGTCCCCACCGTCCGCAGTGCCTTTCTTCTCTTTGTGTAAGTTTACTTTCATGCGACGCAACATGGATTCGAGGAAGATCTTCTTGTTCTGTAGAACGGAGGCATGCTTTAGTAACTGCTCATATTCAAGCTTCAGAGTCTTGTTATTTTCCTCTCTGATGATGTTGAGCTCCATATCGCCAATAGCTTTGTCGTGCGCTTCTATCTGACGAGTGAGCTGGTCCAATCGACTTTTAATCAATTGACATTGGACACGGCGAGGATCATCATCTTTCGTCATGATACAAAAATGTGTTGGCTCGTGGCCGAAAGGGCTGGTTCTGTTGGGGTCACCAGAGATGGCATCACCATGATCAGTCTGACGGAAATACGTAAATCGCGGGGCGTATGCAAGAGGCATAATCTTCGTCTCAGGGTTTGCCTCAGAGGGGAGAATCCAATCGAGTTCGACGAAATCATCCATGTCGATCCAGCTTAGATCACGATCGGGTATTTCAAAATAAGAAAGATCCGTTGCACCGTTGTCCTGCTGTGATACTAGAAATGGAGCTGAGGCTTTCTGGAGATCCTCGGTCGTTGTTCCAGCTATGCTCGCTGATATGGCTCGAATGTCCATGGACAGCAGATCCAATTGGGCTTGATGCATCTTCATTCCGCTAGTCTTGACTTGTGTTTTGCGACCTCGATCCTGAGTGAGAAACTCCTCACGCCGTTGGTGAACGTCAAGCATGAAGCTATCTAGCCTCATTTTTAAGCCCGTTGCGGAGACGATATCTTCAGAAAAGTCCTCGGCGTCTTTGTGCTTGTAAATATGACTCAAGAATAAAGGTGCGAGAAGTAGGTTGTATTTGATGGTGGCTAAATGCCGACCAAACTTCTTGCTAGATTTCTCGATACCAGGCCATAACGTTCCTTGGCGAATTGGGAGTGACATGGCTCCTCCAAACATGGACCACCAAGCGAAGAAGTGGGTGAAGAATCGGGGCGTCAAGTGTACGGTGTTGTAGCTTCTTGACGGGCTAGAGTTCGATACGGACCACTCGCGATCCACAGGAGCTTTCACAGCAATCGACATGTGTATGTGATGACTACGAAAGCCCCGGAAAGCGTCGTACTCAAGACCCTGTGGTGCCTTGGCAAATTGAGGTTCTTTCGTAATAACCTTGTAGTGAGGCTCAAATTCGAAGGATCGCTTCCCCGGTTGGTCCAAGTTTCTTTCAAACATTAAACCTGCCATCCACTGTACGTTGCCTGACAACTTCATGACAACCTTTTTGAAAGACGCGCCCCGTTTGAAATTATCAGAGCTCATCACGCTAGCGTCGTCTCTGTCTTGCCTCTCTGTATTCCGTGCTTGGTGGCTGTAATCTGGAATAGCAAGAATATATTCTCCACTGTCCACTGTCATGAATTTTCGTGGGTCTTCCTCGCGGCATATGTTCCATCTTACATCACTCCTCCAGCACATAAGGAATCCCGCACCATTTCCTGTAACCAAGTACGGGTCTCTCGTTCCTTTGAGCATAAGATGCACGTCGCCATCTCCCTTCCAGGCGACACTGACACGGGAGTGGAAGCTTAGACGTATTTTGTCCCAGAAACCAGTCCTATCTGATGGGTCAATCTGAGGTTTGGTGAAATTTTCTATGACCATCATCATATCTTGAATGGCTGGTTGATATGATGATCCCCATGTTATTCGGGTAGGATAACTAGTATTAATGTCCACCTTGATGTCGGAGTATGACTTTACTGGTGATACGGTTCTCCGTACATCAATCGCAAATCCACCTGCGTTAGACGTCCCTGGCCCAAGGTTTTTTGGAGAGATAATATCAACCTTGACATGTCGAGTTGACTCAGGCCCACGGTACTCCTCTGCGATTACAAAGTCTGTTTTAAGTGACCAGGCCGACAGTCTCGTAGATTGTCCGGGCTTCATGGCAGGGACATGTAATAATGGCAAAGGGTAATCTCGTAAGGTCACACGCGCCTCTCCCATGTTAATCTGAACATGCATTGGAATGAGAAGCGAATACTTCATGTCATGAGGCATCCCTTTGCCTACGCGATGGAGGAATTCAGGTAATTGGCCTATAGGAAATGACGGCTTGTCAATCAGGATGTGTAGGTCACTGATCAAGGTTCCCATGAGGGCTGGTCGCTGTGGCACCTCCAAAATGTTTTCTGTTTCTTCCGTGTCATCTGGTAGTTCGTCAGGGCCCCAAAAGACACCTCGTAACTCCTTCATTCCGTTTTTAGCGTGGCTGAGAATTCGGTCAATTCGATTCTTCCAGCTTTGAGCATTATGCTGCTGGAGAGCTGCTCGAGCTTCTGAGATGGACACCTTGGTATTTGCACTTAAACCGCAGGTACCTTCCGGATCATAACGCATCCGGCGACCTCGATGTTCGTCACCCGCAAGATCTCGTGAATCGCCATTTTCACTTTTACTCCGCGGCCTCGATTCATGTGCATGATTGCTACGACCTCGGGGATGCGTTGATCTGTTGCGATATTTGGACGGCTCCCTCTGCGTCATTTCTTCCCGGATCTTCTTGACCTTCACTTCAAAAGCCGTGTCGCGAGCCAAACGCTGTGCCTGCTCCACAAGCCCAGCGCGATATATAGTTCCAAGCTTCCACTCGAATGCCCCATCTTCCACTTCGAATAACAGTGCCTTACTTCTAATAGAAACCTTCGGGACATTCTTTGGACCTTCAGGACCCTTTTCAAGGATGTATTCATTTGTGCCAGTCGCAAAACGGTGGTGTAATTGTTGAACCGACTTGAGCGTATTCACAAGGTTGTCAGAGATCCTGTGGACAACTAATTGATGGGGGACTGCTAATCGTATGGCTTCTGTGGTGACATCAATCATCCTCTCTTCAAGAACTTCCCCGGTGTTGCGCTTTCTTCTATTTTCACGTAGATCAACCCTCAGTGCCTTAACACTCACCATCCTTGCCCATATGTGTGGCATTTTCGGTGCTTCAGCGTACAGTCTCGCGAGTTTAGCGTGCAAGAAGGGCGGTGACCATCGATGGCGGCCAGCTTCCATTCCATATATTTGCAGCATAATAGGGGGATCAGAAGGCATAGTTGCCTTGATCTGAACCAATGTTGAGCGGATGTCGATGGTCACCAGCTCTTTGGTGGGGAAAGGATAACCATACGATTCGTAAGAATGAAGGTCTTCAGGGGCCGTTGGTGATAGATGCGACTGGAACCTAGTATGTGCAAAAGCAGCGCGAGCTTGCTCTGCTTCTTCGTCGTCCGCCCTAGTACGGAGAAACGCTCGCCTCAGGACTGTCGTAGCAACACCCACAGCATAATGGCGATAGAGTGAGTATTGAACCAGGAGGGTTCTGACATGTGAATTGATATGAAATATCGGTCCTTGGTTATCGCATGCTGTAGAGAATGCAACCTCGAATCGCGGCATCATCACAAAAGGATCGGCCTCCCATTTCTCAGTGGACTCGATGACGAATGCCTCCAAGCCGCGAACATGAAAAGCAATTCGCCTACCATCAGTTGGATGTTGCTGTTTTTTAGATGGCGATTTCGGCATCTTTAAGTATAGTTCTGCGTCCGGTGTCATGGAGCGACTCGCTGCTCGGCGACGGGATGGTTTTCTATCTACGGCTTCCAACTTCTGGACATGATATTCTGCAGTCCAGGATTCTAGATGAAGTGCAACGCCGCGAGTGTCATTCGATATGTCCTCATCTACACCGGCAACCTCTGCACTAAATTCCGAGCCTTGCAATTGGAAATGGAGAAGCCATGGTGGCAAAGCCCTGATGAAATTTGGATCGCGGGATGTTTTTGGCCGCACTTTTTTCTCTGGCTCGACATTTACACGAAGTTGACGAACAATCTGCCGGACACCATCGCTTATTTCGGGGCGAACCATATGTATAGAGAACACCTTCAAGTTCCCATTTGCAACAACGAAGACTTCTGGATTGGCAGTAACGTGGACTTTTAGCTCAAAGGCTTCCGTGTGGACCAGTTGATAATGCGCCCCTGAAGATGTTTGATAATATAAATCATGGGTCTGGATTCTGAGAGAGGATATGAGGGCATAGTGCAGGTCTCCGGATGCCGAATGAGAAGACTCGATATCTAAAGAGATAGAGGATATTGAAGATATGATGAGATCAAAATCATCAGGCTCTGCTTTTGGTTCCACAGGAGGGAGCGCTATTCTGATCACCGGCTCGTGCATCGAGAATTTGATATTTGCTTTAGGTAAAAGCCTTGAAATGACCACATGTCTTCGAGGTGCCAAATGGGCTTTCCTCTTCGGTTTCCCTTGCACCATGGCTAATATTAGTGGGAGGTGTTTTGGATCCAAATCCACCGACGGAGATGTAATCACAATATTAGCGAAAAGAATGTTCGCATTCCGCTCGTCGGCGCTGTTGTCTTTGGTCACTTGGATGGTTTTTGATGGAAGTGTTGTCCGAATGGTAGTGGTTGCCATTGGGATATAGACGAGTCTGTCCCTTTTGCTATGCCCATCATTGATACCAATTGCAATCGATAGTGCAGCAACCAGAGCCTGGTGAGCAACATCCTTGGAAGCAAAGTACATTCGATGGGCTGGGGATTTCTGATCCAGACGATGTAAATCCACACCAACCTCTTTCATTGATGCATTGAGATACATAGGTGCACCTCGGGGTCGGACGGATTCGATCTTTTTCGTGAAACCAACGAAACTAACAGCAAATTGCACTTCTTTGATACCGCGTAGGATCGAGCTTACAAATTCTTTGGAGTCTGAGACTGTTCGCACTAAATGTTCTTCTCGACTCCCAGGTTGTTCAAGCTCTTGTATCAGATCGTTGACAGATATTTCTTTAACCTGGGGACGAACCCCTCCGTAATGACTACGACAGCTCTGATATCTATCGAAACATGCAGTGATATCGTCATATGGTATATGCACGCGGCCCAACTTCAGAGCAACAGCAGCATCACGGAGTCCATCAAACTCCTGGTACAAAAATCCATGAATATTCAGCGTTGCGTGATCGAGCACTTCTTCCGACTCTTTCCCTTCAGGTGTAAAAAGCATACTGCGAACCGTCATCATCCATTCAGCAGGTCGCTGTTCCTTTTCAATCGTCTTCACATGCGCAAACATCCTCCCTCTGTCAATCATCTTGCGCCGGGTATCAACTGCCATGGTAAAACTCCCGATCTGGAGCTGGCCAACTTCCACAATATTGATGGCCGAATTAGTTGCGACCACATCAAACATCCGAATCCATTTGATCTTACGGTGGAGGAGTTTTATGCGATTCTTGATTCCTGTCAAATGCTCCCAAGTTCTGCTTCTTGGAATCCCCGCGTTGTCCTTTGGTGTAGTAGGGCGGCGTTTCTTGGATTCTGGATCCTGAGGTCCATCCAAGTCTTGTTTAATTTCTCCTTCATTTTCCTCGTCTTCCTCATTTTCCCCAAGCTTGTTTTTCTCCGTTGCCTTCAAATCCACCGTAACTGCCAGCTCCTGCAAAACGATGCTGACCCATGTTGGCTGTGCAAAGGTCGGTCTATGGAGTTGGAGGCCCAACCCACGTATCTCTATCTTTATTCCGTCTTTCGGGGTGTATGCGAGTCTCCTTAAAGAAAAGTATCCAACGCGCTGAATAGAGATGCCGGTCAAGATTCGAAGGACGGCAAATAAAATAAAGGACAATAGGTAGAGGAGAACGATTACTCCAAATATGAAAGTCGGGTTCAAAAGCGCCATTACTCTTATCGTTCTCCGCGCGCCATTCGAGGTTACAGAATGCTAACCTGGCCGCAGACGGGATCAAGGCTGTCGAGATCCCTCAGACACAGAAGCTTTGCGCTGGAACAAGAATGCCATCCGCAGTCCCAATCTGGCCACCAGGGAGTATTTGTATGCTGGTCGAGTTGTTCCGCGACAAGGGGTGAAAGAGTCGCGAGTATCAAACTTCCCTTCGCCCAATAAACCGAGTGGTTGTCCTAAGCCGTTGACCACCGTGCTTCATGGTTCGCGGATTCCGATATGGCTCGAAGGGTGTGCGATGGGCTGACAGCTATGCCATGAGCCGGTGGGTTCAGCCGGTGGGTTCTTGTGTTGGTGGCTGGAGGGGAGGCGTCGACGGTTTCGGGGAGTGGATGAAGGTGTGGGCGTATGAGCGTATGAGCGTATATGGGTACTCGTATCGCGGAGGAGGTTCGGCAGTACTCAGTAGGAAAGGAGTGGAGTTGCGATTGTGATGTAGTCAGAAATCTGCAAAATTAGGATTACGATGTTGCGGCTGCGGTGCAATGTACAAAAGAAGAAAAGGCGAACTGGCGAACGGGCGCAAATGCTGTTCCCAGTGCTGGTACGACAACGAAACAATCTGGAAGGGGCGGTCCTTGTTCTTTGCTCTCACTTATCGTAATTGGAACTGGCGATGGGATTCGTCTAATCGCCTAATGCCGACAGGGCACGTGATATGCACGAGCTCGTCATAGCGGAGACGATATGTAACGTACTTCATAAGGAGTCCGGATTTATAAGCAGTCCGGATTTTTTACCCCAACCTTGACCACCCTACACACTTTCAATCTACATAACTTACCCAATTATTGCTCAAATGTCTCGAAAAGAAGGTCAAATTGCTCTTGCAATCAGTGCATACAATAAGGGTCAATTTACAAGCTTAAAAGCAGCTTGTACAAGGTACGATGCGCCATATTCTACTACTTACGACCGCGTCAAGGGAGCTATTCCACAACGCGATTTCCGACCCCGAAACCAGAAACTCACCGACCTCGAGGAATCAGCACTTATACAATGGATGTTATCAATGGAAGCTAGAGGTCTGCCAGTACGGAAAGATTCGATACGCCAAATGGCCGATTTACTACTGGAAAAGCGAACTGGAGTAGGTCGAATTGTTGTCGGAAAATGCTGGGTTGACAACTTTATAAAGCGCCACGACTCTTTACGGACGAAATACACTCGTAAATACGACTATAAGCGCGCAAAATGCGAGGATCCTACGATTATCCGAGATTGGTTTCGATTAGTACATAATATTGTTGCGAAATATGGTATACTAGCGGAGGATATATACAATTTCGACGAGACTGGCTTTCAGATGGGAGTAATTGCGACCGCAAAAGTTGTTACAGGGTCAGATTATACAGGAAGGGCTATTCATATACAACCAGGGAATCGCGAATGGGTTACAGTTGTCGAATCAATTTGTGCAGATGGATGGGTGTTGCCTCCAATGGTTATATTTGAGGGCAAGGTGCATATATCGACTTGGTATACAGATCAATTACCAGCAGATTGGACAATTGCACTTAGTGATAAAGGGTGGACCAATGATTCCTTAGGTCTTAAGTGGCTTTCAGACGTATTTGAGAAATATACCAAGGACCGTGTAAAAGGAGTATATCGACTTTTAATCCTCGATGGCCATGGTAGTCATTCTACTCCCGAATTCGATCTTTTCTGTTCAGAACATAACATCATAACGCTTTGTATGCCACCGCACTCATCTCATCTTTTACAGCCATTAGATGTTAGTTGCTTTGCAGTTTTAAAGCGACTTTATGGACGAGGAGTCGAGGAGCTAGTACGAGCCGGCACATATCATATCGATAAACCAGACTTCCTTTCAATATATCGTGTAGCCCGTACAAGTACTATGGTCAAAAACACAATCTGTAATGGATTCGCAACTACTGGCCTTGTCCCGTACAACCCAGATCAAGTATTGAGTAAATTACATACTCAATTACATACGCCTACTCCTCCTTTACTTTCTCCAAACCTACTTACTACCTTGGGTCCCTGAGACACCCCATAATACATATGAGGCAGATCAGCAAACCCAGACAATTAAAGCATCTATTAAACGACGTACAAACGTTCTCT